GCTCTTTGTGGAGGAATAGTGCAGCATACTAGGAAATAACTAATTATTAATTGATATTTTTCCAGTGGAGGGGTTTTGCAAGGATGCTTATGCAAGGGCAGCTTCCCCTTTCGTCCCCCTCATGCCACCAAAAAGCCTCCTCACCCAAAGCCTGGGAGGTGAGGTGGGGCTCACAGTGGGAGTCAGGCATCGTAGAAAATCAATTGAAGGCTGCTTGCAGTCTGAGAAACATTATCACAAAGGCATCCCAGTTCTGCAGATAGACAGATCTGTGTTAGCATGCCAGGTGGCTTGCATTGATGTAACCACAGTGACATCAGTTTTAGTTTATGTTGATGTGTGACCTGTGCAGAGCAAATAAAGCAAACCTGTGTTGGGATACTACCTGTCAGTTTGAACAAGTAGTTGAGAGGATGAGTACAACAAACTGTCAGTATGTTTCCACTTTTTTGGCCCAAGACTGACTTTGGAAGTCCAGCTTACAACACAAGCAAATATTCTAAAAGTTTTTTCTACCCTTCCTATCTATCTCCCCTATAAGGCCTCTTTTATCTTTAATCATTGCCAAAAAGAGGTGATTTTGATTTGTACAGAACCAGCATGGTGTGGTGGTTTGAACAGTGGATTACCATTTAGGAGGCTAGAGTTTGAATCTACTTGGCCATGGAAACCGATTGGGTGACCTGGGCAAGTCACACTCAGGTTCATAAAAACCCTGTGATATGTTTGTTTTAGAGTCACCAGAAATCAGAAATGACTTGAAGGCATACAGCATTAACCTTTGCACAACTGTATAACAAGCTATAATCTCTAAAATTTCTTCCCTGAGCCCCCTAAGTGACTTATCTTCCTTGGATCTGGTTTACTTTCTGCCTTATTTTTAAAGAGGACCTCTAAATGTCAAAATTGTTGGCATGTCATTGATATGGCTCACCTTAGAGTAGGATACTACACATTGGTTTCAATTCACTAATTAAAGGTTAATGTTCTAAGGAAGCTGGAAGATATCAAATATACTTGTTTAGAGTATTCTTTTGTCTGTACAGAACAGTTTGTTTGTAATCCTTGGCTGACAGAGCATAACAGCAGTAGACTGGACATAATGTCATTCTTAAACCAATCCAATATGGCAATCATTTACAGAGATGTAGCATCTGCACAATAAATAAATTAAATCATTGTATGAGGTATTGTCTAACATTTAGCCAATCATATCCTTGTGTTTCTATGCCTTCTGTAAATCCTGTCCTAAACTATTATGGCCAGTATTGCATCTTCATGCTTCATACCTGGCTCAACAACAGTACATGTGAAAAAGATCTTGGAATCATTATGGACAGCAAGTTGAACATGAGCCAACAGTGTGATGCCGCAGCTAAAAAGCCAATGGGATTTTGGTCTGCATCAAAAGGAGTATAGTGTCTACTGTCTAGGCTGAGGGAAATCATGGTGCCTCTCTATTCAGCTTTGGTTAGACCTCATCTGGAATACTATGCACAATTCTGGGCACAACAGTTCAAAAGAAGAAGGCAACTAAAATGATCAAAGGTCTGGAGACCTGGGCATGTTTAGCCTGAAGAAGAGAAGGTTGAGAGGAGACTTGATAGCAATTTATAAATATGTGAAAGGAATCCATAAGGAAGAAGGAGCAGACTTGTTTTCTGCTGCCCTAGAAACTAGGACCCGGAGCAATGGGTTCAAATTGCAGGAAAGGAGATTTTACCTGAACATTAGAAAGAAGTTCCTGACTGTAAGAGCTGTTCAGCAGTGGAACTCTTTGCCTCAGAGTATGGTGGAAACTCCTTCCTTGGAAGCTTTTAAACAGAAGCTGGATAGCCATCTGTCAGGAGTACTTTGATTGTGCTTTTCCTGCATAATAGGGAGTTGGACTAGATGGCACACCTGGTCTCTTCCAACTCTATTATTCTATGATTCTATACTTCTAAACAGACCTGATGTGAACTACCCAGATTTCAAATATTATGATTATGGTTATTTATATCCCACTTTTTCTCTCTGCTGTGGACAATACTGTCATATGTTTGCTGTTAAACCTAATGGAGTCAGTTGGACATCTTCAGATCATGAACCTTTGGGGAACATAGTGGTGTTCTGCTCCCTCTTAGAACATGCAAAGACTGATGATAATAATAGTCCACATAAAGGTACCATACATGAGAGGAACTACACTCATGGAAGGCAGCTTTAGTCAATCTTCGTGAATGTCTCTTATTCCTTCTCAAGCCTAATTGATTCAGAAGCGTTCCCTGAGCCTTTAGCTCTTGAGGGGATTACTACAGTGACTGCTTTTGGATATGAAAGAGAAGGAAATTCACTTCTGCAACTCTAGTTACATGCTCTTAAATCTGAGTGCAACTCATTTTCATTTTTAATGAACAGTGATACCAATTGTTTATCCTGCATCCATATTGAAAGGACATTACCCAGAAAGCAAAAAGCTACAACTTGGCTAGATTATCTCCAGGGGTGCCTCCTGTAGTCAAGTCATCCCCCAGGGGTCATTTTCTTTACATGTTTCCTCATACTAAGATTTGTATTCAAATAGAGTTTTCATCCTTGGCATTTATTTGAACCTGGGCTGTCTTCCTGGAGACTCTTTAGGAATGTCTGTTTTAGCTTCTCGGGTGAATATAAAGCTCTTCTGACCTAATGGACTGAAGTAAGCCATGTCTTGACCATTTACAGGAGGTGACTGATGGTGGCCACACAGTCACCTCCCTAGGTGGTCGTTGCTTCACTAGGGCAAGCGAGCCTGCCTTTTCACAGTGAGCTCTTTGACTGAACTTACTTCTGCATTTCTTGTAAAGCTTCTCTTGTGGTGTTCCTCCTTTTGACTCACTTGGAATTTCTGAAGTTTCTCTTGGATATGCTTCACTTTCTAGCTGGAACTGGTGCATCATTGCTATTAACTTGTTCTCTTCCTTCCTAAGCGAATAGATGGCAGGCACCCAAAATCTGCTACTTCATGTGTTGACAGTTCCAGTTTTGGAATTACATAGCAGCCTGTTGAAGCACAGCGCTTGTAGCTATGTTGTGGTTCATGGGAGACATGGGGCAGGGAATGTGAAATTTGTGGTAGGGTTGTTCTTTCTTTAAAGCCATTATGAAGAACACTGTTTGTACCATCAGTCAAATATTACACAGCAAAGTGTAGAAGGGGATGAAAAGAAAGAAGAAGGGGTTATTGTCTAATTTAGAAATGATGAGCTAAAAGTATTGTATGTTATTGCTGAGGAATACTGATTACAAAACATACAAAAGGCTGCAAAATGACTGAACTCAAGGAACTCAAGGAACTGACAAATACTAAAGCTACATAATTTCTCTTGATTAGATGATCCCAGGTCCATGAAAACATGATCATTAAGAGCTCTGGAGAGATCAACAAGGTTGCTGATTTCCCTATCCAGCCCATGTATGAGGACTATCAGAATTGTCTTGTTATGGAGGCCCAGAGCCAGATTGGAAGGATTTGTAAACTCATATAGGGATGGCTAGAAATAAAGGCCTGTTACTGTTGGAAAATAAATATTGTTATTATTATGTAAATCTTGCATTAAAAAAGAAAATAGCTTCCCCCCCCCCTCCTTCCTCTTGCACCCCATGTTCATTTATAACAGTTCATTGATAGATAGAAGTCACATGTCCAAAGAGTGGGTCTTCTAGTTGAGGAATATATCCTAGCCTAATGTAACCCCCAATCCTAGTCCATTATGGTAACTACTGGATAAGTATGGTTTTAATTATAGCCTTTGGGGGGGGGGGGTTCATGTCAGGAGCAACTTGAGAAACTGCAAGTCGCTTCTAGTGTGAGAGAACTGGCTGTCTGCAAGGACATTGCACCAGGAATGCCCAGATGTTTTGATATTTTATCATCCTTCTGGGAAGCTTCTCTCATGTCCCCGCATGGTAATCAGGAGCTGACAGAGGGAGCTCATCCACACTCTTCCCGGATTTGAACCTCCAACCTGTGTGTCTTCAGTCCTGCAGGCACAAGGGTTTAACCCATTGTTGATAGGCTAACAGTACATTATGGAGAAGGCATGAATGCTGTCAAACTGTCTTTCCTCCCATGTGTTTGCCCAGCCATAGTTGAGAATATACATTTGTGTTGTGATCCATCATGGTGTTTGTCATTTTCCTTCTCCCTGCAAATGACAACAAAAAGGCTAGATTGGAGAAATGTCCAACATGAGGGTAAATCACATGTTCAATGGGGGGGAAATCACATGGGAGATGCATGAATACTTGTGTGGGTTGTCAGTAATTATGAGAATTGAGCAGCTCTTTTTCAAAAAAGGGTCCGATAGCTATCTCATTCAGTGAAGACATGTTGATAAACAGGAGTGTGTCCTACTTCTTAAGTTACTTCAATTTTCTTAGACAAAAGGGAAGAAGGAATATGTTACAGTAGAGATAGAGGTTGGTTGAATATAGGTTTGTAAGCATTGGCATCTTGAAGTCTGTCTGATTAAAATAAACCTGTGAGATGGTCATTTTAATGTAATCATGACGTCTTCATCATTATCATGAAATTTTACATGCCATTAAATAGAAAAACCCAAGGAAAGGAACAGATTTCTGACATATAAATTCGCTAAACATATGGTAATGACGTAGAGGAGTGTTTCACCAAAGTCTTGTATTTCCCTATGCATGTTTGCAGCACCAGTGTTTCCCACTTTATTTCAAGACTATGTATCTTTCTGCTAAAATGCACACACTACATATGTTAGTGCATGGAAATATACTTGAAAACCTTTCAGTTTTCTTCCAAAAGTTCTTGCTGACATGTTTATTTATATCTGTGTAAGAAATGTGAGATGCTTGGGGAATTATATATTCTATAGAAGTATGTATTTTCCATTTCTGCCCATTTCCTTTTGCATTGGATATGTTAACTTATGCAATTGAGTGATAATTTTATTACTGAATTTTATTCTAAGTATTTCCTTCTCGCTATCCCTTTTCTCTTCTAGCAACTTGAATTAGTGGAACCAAGTGGTTGGATTCATGTTCCTTTGACTGATACACACAAGAAACCTATACGCACTTTTATGATTCAGATTGCTGTTTTAGCCAATCATCAAAATGGAAGAGACACTCACATGCGACAAATTAAGGTCTATACACCAGTGGAAGAAAGTTCTATTGGTAAATTTCCTAGATGCACAACAATTGATTTTATGATGTATCGTTCAATCAGGTAAACAAACAATATTTTTGTACTTTATGTCATAGTGTTTTTGTGTAATTTGAAATAAAATATAAAATCTGCTTATTATAGTGTCTCATTACTACTTTTGCTTTGCTGGACAGAATCGTAGCAGGCACAGAATGATCAATAATACAAAGTAGGCTATGGAGTATATTTTAGTGACATGTTATTTAAATGAGCACATTATAAATATATATATATATTTGTTTCTCCCTGTCAAAAAAAATAGCATGATGAAGATTTACCATCCTTTATCTGGTGCAAAGTTTTTTTTTTTGTGCTAACAAATAAGTTGCACTCTTTGTGTGTTCGTCATCATCATAGACGATCACTTGTGGCTGAGTTTGATTGTGTTCTAAAGGTAGAGTCTTAGTAGTGGGTTCGTAAGTAACTGTGAAGAGCTTTTCACAGAATCATTGAATCATAGAGATAGAAGAGACCTTGTGGGTCATCCAGTCCAAGACCCTGCCAATATGCAGGAAAATCACATTAAAAGTACCCCCGACAAATGGCCATCCAGCCTCTGTTTAAAAGCCTCCAAAGAAGGAGGCTCCACCACACTCCGGGGCAGAGAGTTCCACTGCTGAACATCTCTCACAGTCAGGAAGTTTTTTCTAATGTTCAGGTGGAATCTCCTTTCCTGTAGTTTGAGGCCATTGTTCCGCATCTTAGTTTCCAGGGCAGGAGAAAACAAGCTTGCTCCTTCCTCCCTATGACTTTCCCTCATATATTTATACATGGCTATATGTCTCCCCTCAGCCTTCTCTTCTGCAGGCTAAACTCACAGCACACAGTCTTTCACATTGAGGACATAGATTTTCAAATAGAAGGCGGTTACGACAAAGGTTTGGTTGACACGCCCTCTTGGCATATTTATTTCTTTTGCTCTGTATTTGTGCTTCTTCAAAGGCTGTAGCAGCATTGGTTACAGCTGACCTCCAGTTATAGCGCTCAAGTGCCAGGACTTCCTAGTTCTTGGTGTTTATAGCATATTTTTAGGTTAGCTTTAAGCTCATTTTAAAAGCTCTTTTGTTGTCCCCTTGACATTTCATTTTCCATTCTTGAGAATAAAGTAACTGTATTTGGAGATGGTGATTGGACATGTCAAATCCAGTGAAGTTGATGGCCATCTTGTTCAATGCTTGAGGTTTTTGTTTCTTCCAGAATGCTGATGTTTGCCCACCTGTCTTCCTAAGTGATTTGCAGGGTTTTTCAAAGGTAATTTGTTTGGAAGACACCTGTGTGTGAATTTGTTTTATGTGTGGGGATCAGTTCGCAGCAACCAAACAGAACCTTCACAGAAATAGGTTCTAAAGCAATGGCATGGATACCACGATGATTGGTGGTCTCTCCGTTGCAACCTTCATCTGCCTTCACAGCTGTTGTAAAATGTACCATGTTATCATCTGCCTGCTCCACCTTTGAGGTCTTCATATCGTTGTTTATTTGGTTCCTCCCCTGTGTAATTGCTGCTGTGGGTGACCCTGATGGGAGTACATTATTTCCGACATCTTTGTTCATAGGTTCACTGGAACACACAATTCTGCCCACTCATCACAACAAGGTAACGATCCGGAGAGGAGTGTTAGCATTCATCTTCACTTGTGTTTCTGTTTACTCCATTTTATATTAGCAGTGTTTTTCAAATGATTATATGGCAATAAATGCATCATACATCCTTCGTGAGCAAATATGATTGACTCAACAGAAATGCACTTCATCTCTGCACTTGTTGAAATAGATTAACTCCCTTACTCTGTTTTGTAAGGCTACTAGAATTTTCTAGGAAGCCAGGTACTTTTTGCCACCCGGGTAGCACATTAATGGGCAAGTGGAACAACCTTAGTGTTTTAAGACTTTCACAGTATATTGCTTTATTAATTCTCCTTACTCTTTCAAAATTCTTTAGGAATTCAGTGTGTTCTCTCTTCTTCACATTGAATGTGACAAGAAGGGAAGACAATGGGAGCTAGTGCTGCTCTCGCTAATGAGATGTATATAGTTTAATACTTAAGTTACTTAATCAAAATTTACAAAGCCTTTTTCACATCTGTCTTTGTTAAGTTGATGATAGTTATTTAAATTCAATTGTAAGTGTCAAATTATATTTTGCTTTGAATTAAGTATTTAAATTTTTTATATGAAAGAGTAATTCCATCCAACTTTGGATCAAATTGCTTCCAAGCTTGTTTATTGCATCAAGGCAAAAAAAAAAGAAGCAAAAAACACACCAAAAAAACTTGCAGCTACTGAGGGTGGTAGTTATGTCTGAGTCAATATGAACAGGGTGGCATGGGTATAACTACACAGTACCTTTGTGGCTGTTATTGATGGCAATTTACTCTCATATTTATAGTCGCAGAGCAGTTGTCAGTTGAAATAGATTTTTTTTCTGACTAGGAGAAAGGAGAGATGTTCCCTACAGCCCCTGCTCCAATCAATGTTTAATCTGAGGTGGAATGATGGAGTAAAATTGCTTTGCTAGGGTTTATTGCAGGGCCTCTGGTGGCCCAGCAGGTTAAACCGCTGGGCTACTAAACTTGCTGATGGAAAGGTCGCAGGTTCAAATCCAGGGAGTGGTGTGAACCCCCACTATTAGCCCCAGCTTCTGCCAAACTAGCAGTTCAAAAACATGCAAATGTGAGTAGATCAGTAGGTAGGTACCGCTCTGGTGGGAAAGTAATGGTGCTCCATGCAATCATACCAGCCACATGATTTTGGAGACGTCTATGGACAATGCCGGCTCTTCGGCTTAGAAATGGAGATGAGCGCCACCCTCCAGAGTCGGACTTGACTAGACTTAATGTCAAGGGGAAACCTTTACCTTTACCTTTAGGGTTTATAGCAAACACATAATAAAAAAATAAACATCTTCACCCTTTAAAAATCTTGCTTTGAGTTTTTTGTGGAAAAGATTTGGGCACTTAGAATTTTATTGACTAAAATCTAATTTGGCGAGGTTTGTCTTCTTTCTTTTTCCCCTGGCATTAGCAAAAAATTTTCTAACAATCTCCTTACTGTAGTGCCGCATGAAAGCAATCACATTTCTGTAGTTTTCCTATGACAAATTTATTTTTCCTATAAGCTTTAGTTGGCTGGTGCAGCTGGCATGGGCTTCCTGACAATGAGCCAGGAGATCTGGGCTTCAAGGAAAACTCACAGCTCTCTCAGATGTTGGCACAGGGCAGGGCAAACCCCTCCCTGGGCATTAGCACTAACACTTGTTGGCACTCCTGGCACAGCACACATTGGAACAGGCTCGCCCTTGAAAGCAAGGAAAGGGACACAGATTGTGGGAGGTAGAGCTGATCTGCTTAAACAATTCCCAGAGCATGAGAACAGTTACCACCTGGTCCTGTTTTTAAAAAGATGAAATCAGTTGCTTTACAGCTGGGGGATGGAGACAGAGGTGGATACGTTACAGCTAGTATTTTATTAGGTGTTTATATCTGTGTAAAAGTGTGTGACTGTTGAACATCTGTAACTTCAGATGCTACTGTCAGTGTGACCCCTCCTTTGGAATCATTGGTGATTCAGTTTTTCAAAGTCAGACAAAGCCCTAATAGCTATCTGCTTTCTGCGGTTGTAACATGATGTCTGAAGGAAATACCAACTTTGGTGGTACAGGATGGGGCAATTTTATGTGTAACACTACTCTATGCTTTTCTGAGTACTTGTAGCATGCTCTGGTGAAAAAGCACTTCTCCTTAAAGGAGAAGGTAAATAGTTTGTCAATGTTGCTTTTGGGATAACAGCTCTTATGCTGACTGAAGTTTTGGGAGTTGTAGTCGTAAAAATGTTTCCAGGATCTCAGAAGGTACTTGAGGAAATTGTTCAAATACATATATTACGGAACAGGTGGATTATCCATTATCCGTAGCTGTTGTTTGGAGAGTCATTCATTCCATGTTCTTGATCTAATAATGCATGTACCCAAACAAAGATATCCGCATGGCTTAAAACACATTTTGTCCTTTGAATAGCAGAAATATCAACTGCCTGGTCGGCTGCATCCATGAGAAATTTGACATAATAAGAACGACTCAGTATTTATTTACTTACTGTATTTATTACCGTCTTTCTAAGCCCTGGGGGGACTCAAGGCAGTTTACAACATACTAATGGCAAAAATTCAATACCAACATATACAGTACACAAAGAAATCATAATAACTAATTACTACATATAACTATGAACTTAAAATCAATTAAAACCATTAAACATAAGGCATAAGATAAAATTTATAAACATTCAGACAAGCATAAAATCATCCTAGTATAAACATTAAAATCCCATGATCCAGACATTGTAAACCATAGCCATTCTGAGTTGTCATTGCATGTACTTCTTAATTATTCTTTGTACTGCATCATTTATTAGTCGATGGCTTGATCCCACACCCATGTCTTTGTTCTCTTTCTAAAGGCCAGGAGGGAGGGCGCTGATCTAATCTCGCTGATCAAATCTCGCTGGGGTGAGAGTTCCAGAGCCGAGGAGCCACCACTGAGAAGGCTCTGTCTCTCATCCTAACGGATGTGGGACCGAGAGCAGGGCCTACCCAGATGATCTCAACCTCTGTGATGGTTCATAGAGGGAGATACGTTCAGACAGATAAGCTGGGCTGGAACCATTAAGGGTTTATAGGCTAAAGCCAGCACTTTGAATTGTGCTCGGTAGCAGACTAACAGCCAGTGGAGCTGCAGAACAGGGGGGTTGTATGCTCGCCATACCCTGCTCCGGTGAGTAATCTTGCTGCTGCTTATTGGACCAATTGAAGCTTCCAAACAGTCTTCAAAGGCAAACCCATGTAGAGTGTGTTGCAGTAGTCTATATGGGATGTAACCAGAACATGGACTATTGTGGCCATGTCAGTAGGACAGACTGAACCTGTTAGGCACAGCTCAGATGTCTTTTGGAATGATTAAGTGCATCCAATAAAGTGATACTTGATTGATTTCCATCTGTTGAAGCTTGGTTTGCATGACACATGGAAGCTCAAAATAAATGGAACAAGATAATAAATAGATCATGATGTGAATCTGGACGTGATGATATGATGTTTC